TTTTTTCCAGCTGTATCAGCTCATCTAATAGAAAATATTATTGTCCTCTACGGACCTTGCCTCTCTTATACGCTTAGATCATTGTGCCTACAAAAGCATTAATACTAATTATTCCTAACATTGCATTTGTCTTTTTGAGCAGCACGGACCTGTGAGCAGATCTATTCACAGAGCAAGTCCAGTAACGCTCAGACCTCTTTCCGAGTGCCCGTTAACAGCTAACCCTCTCCCGTGGGTCTGCACCACGGGCATCACATTGCACTGGCAGACATGGCTACTTGCCTGCCAGTCACCGAGATATCCATAAAGCTTCTTTTGCAGTAGTTCACAGTCAGCTTTACATTTTACCATGGTGAATAATTTAGATTCATCTTAATCAGATGATTTAGACATCTGTTTATCCCAGGTTCTGTGGAAATAAATGCGGATCCCTACTCTCCCTTGTAACAGATGAGCATCTATTCCTTTTCCTTGATTCTCATCTTCTCTCCAATTACAAAAACAGAGAGGTTCCCCTGCTATTTCAGGATTATTCAAGGTCCTCTTGCAACATACAGTAGAGGAAGTGTCTTGAAGAGCGAAGTGAACCAAGTATGAACTTGTTCGCTTGTTTGCTGACGGCTCAGGTCTGTTCGTGAGATGCAACTTCTCCGTGCAAACAGGGTGCAGGGTGCTGACTCTTCCCCAACCGAGCACGTTCGCTCCTGTGTCTCTCAGCCCCTTCGCTGCAGCATCTCGTGGATTTGCCCAGCACAGTACTGAGACTCGTTGGTCTGCTGGTCCCCAAACCACCTGTCAAGTCTCTGGTTTTGTGCAACAAAGGTGTTTATTGTGTGCTTTTATGCCCTCAGTAAGTCACTCTTGAAAACCCCTCTCTGACCTGCCTTATTTTCACTTCATCCTTCTTGCCAGAGTTGCTGCCTTCTTCCTTTTCCCGGTGCAGACAGGACTGGCAGCCCGTCCCTCTCTGAGGGACCTCTGTTTACTTCCAACGGTTGTGTTCAATCTCCTGTGTAACTGCACTGGCATTCTTCTCCTAGAACAGGTTTCCAACAGGTCTTCAACAGGTCATATATATATTTACCTGAACCTTTCATGGGGGGCCTTCAAGCAATTCACCTTGTCTGAATTTAGCCCTTTAGTTGCTCCTTTTGCTGCAGCCAGTGCTCCATTGCTCTCTGCTTTTCCCTTTCCAGCTGGTACTAGGGTGGATATTTTGGGTCGCCGCTTCTCCCAGGAATCTCTAACGATATCTGCATGGCAGTGGCTTTTCTGCAGTCACCTCTTCAACCTGTGCAAGTCTTTGTTGGACTACATCAAGCGTTACTTCTCTGTCTCACTTCCCCAGCCAGCTGGCATGCCCAAATCGCCCAGCCCTGGGGATCCAAGTCCCCCGTTACCCCTGTTTTCCGCGCTGGCACCTCTCCGAGCTGCTCTTGAACTCCGAGGGACCTCTCGGGGTCCCGTCAGGTGCCCAGTGTCGCAGCCAGCCCCAGCGCCAGGTTCCTAAGCCCAGAGCAGCAGCCCAGCAGGGCGCTGGGGTATTCACTGATCTCATTGCCGTCTCTTCTGGATTCCAGATCACTCTTTTTCCTTTTTCCCTTTGCGTGCAAGTGGAGTTCCCCTCGCTGCGCCTTGCGCGCGTTGCCGCTTTGCTCTGTGCCTTGGAGCAGCCCCCGGCCCCC